ATTAAAAAATCATCTACTTCATCTGTTCAGTTTCTTCCCAAACTTATTGTCAATAAAAACATAGTTCCCACTGTTGAAAAAGACAAATCTTTTAAATATCTTGGTAGATACTTCAACTTTCCTATGGATAATAGTGATCATATGTCAGAACTATTGGAAACTGTCAACTCGTTAATGTCCAGTATCGACAAATTGTCGTGTCATCCAAAGAACAAAATTCTGTTATACCACCGATATGTTCTATCCAAAATTTCTTGGAACCTGACCATCGCTGATTTAAGCAAGACATGGGTGACAGAGAATCTAGACAATGTTGTTTCAAGCTTTGTTAAACAATGGCTCGAGCTGCCAATAAGTGCTTCACTAAGTAGCCTCGTCATTCCAAAATCGAAGTTTGGCATCAATCTCATTCTTCCATCTACCAAGTTCTTACAATGCCAAACAGTTATCCGCAACTCTTTAAGACTGTCCCCAAACCAAGAGATTCGCTCTTTATGGAAAGACTCTAGCACTGGTACAAACATACAATATGACGTTTATCGCAACACCAAACAAGTTCTCAAATCCATCCAAAGTGAACACGAAAACCGCATTGAAAACGTTCTTACATCTCAAGGATTTATTATCTCGTGCATCTTAAAATTTGCTTCTAAGGGAACTAATCAACTTTGGTCTAGTGTCCAGCAAAAGTTACCAAAAAACATTTACAACTTACCATCAAATTCCTAAACAACACTCTTGCCACTAGGAAAAACCTCTGCAAATGGTCAATTACTCAGTCATCTGCCTGCTCTTTCTGTCTCCAATCAGAATCATTACAGCACATAGTCTCTAGCTGCAAGAATTATCTTGAACATGGTAGGTATACCTGGAGACATGATTCTGTACTTCTATATTTGGCTAAAACCCTTTCAACACCTAGAAACAGCTCACTCTACGCCGACCTGCCTTCATTTCTATCACCTTCTTTAATCACAGGCGACTCCTATCGACCAGATCTTGTCTTCGTAACTGAAGATCGAATCCTTTACATGCTAGAGCTTACTGTTGGGTTCGAAAGCAACATCGACGAAAACAGTACTCGAAAAGCTAGGAAATATAGCGATCTTATCAAGGAACTGAGCCCTGCCTATAAACGTGTTACCTTTGTTAACCTTTCTATGAGTGCCCTTGGCATTCTGGGAACCTCATCTACCTCTCTCTCTGACATGCTACACCAAATTAGTTTTGACTCAAATCAAACTAAATCCATCTTGATGAAACTCATGAACATTTCTATCCGCTGCACCTACTATATCTTCTGTCGTCGAAACAAACCATGGCTAAGCCCCGAACTAATTGACTTTTAAATATTGTAATGCAGATAAGCCAATTATATGATGCCTGTAAAAGCGAGTCGTATAATTGTAAATTTAAAATGTATTCAATGAAAATGAGATGTTTAAAAAAAAATTATTATTATTAAATCTAAACTCGTTTCTCTTTTCTCTACTCTTATGAAGGATATTGACGACTTACCTCTCCATCCTAAAAACAAACTGCTATTATACCATCGTTATATTCTGTCAAAAGTTTCATGGCATTTTACTGTTGCAGATCTACCAAAGACCTGGGTTGTCCAAAACCTAGACAATCTTGTTTCCAATTACATTCGCCAGTGGCTTGATCTTCCTGTTTCTGCAACATTGAGTGGAATAATCCTCTCAAAAAATCAGTTTGGCCTAAATCTACAACTGCCTTCTATCAAATTTACGCAATGCCAAACTGTCTGTCGCAATGCCCTAAAATCTTCTCCTAATATTGACATTCAAACCCTATGGAAAAACACCAGTCATGGCACGAACCTACAGTACGACATCTATCGTAATACTAAAGAGGTATTAAAGGCTGTCAAATCAGACAACAAAGAGCGTCTCTCCCAAAACTTAACATCTTAACATCAATTACCTTCCTACTGAAACATTCACTGGAAAAGCTGAACGGTATTTGGTCAAGTACACAGAGCAATTTGCCTAGTAACATCTTTAACTTTACCATCAAGTATCTTAACAACACTCTTCCAACTCGTAAAAATCTGCTGAAATGGAACCTTAGTCAAACATCTGACTGTGAATTCTGTCTTATTCCAGAAACAGTTCTACACGTTGTTGCTGGATGCAAAGTGTACCTTGACCAAGGCCGCTATACTTGGCGTCATAATTCTGCATTAAACTTTCTAGCCACTTCCTTCCAAGCAATAAATGGGTCTTCTCTTTACGCAGATTTACCAGGCTTTCTTTCCCCTTCTATCATAACTGGAGATCAACTACGCCCTGACTTACTTCTCAAAACTAAGGAAAACTGTCTGTACGTTTTAGAGCTAACCATAGGCTTTGAAACAAATCTCAACTGCAATGCTGTCAGAAAGTCAGGGAAATATGCCACCCTCGTATCTGACTTAAAACGTCAGTTTAAGTCAGTCTCGTTTGTCAATCTTTCCATCAGTTCACTTGTTATTTTTGGCGACTCCTGCAGCTCATTCATCGACATGTGTGACTCTTTGTCCATTGATCATCAACAGAAACGCTACCTCATCTCCAAACTTACAAGCATCTCCATTCGCACCACATACTATATATTCTGCTGTAGAAACAAAACTTGGACTAATCCAGAGCTACACCCCTTTTAACAATTTTTTTTTTCTCATTACTACGATGTAATAGTTTTTATTTTGTAAACACAGGCTAGCCAGTTACAAATTACCTTGTAATAGTGAGATTTGTAATTGTAGTTTTAACAGGAATTCAAAATGAAAAGTTTCCATTAATATTATTATTAGGAACAAAACATGGACTAACCCAGAGCTACTCCCCTTTTAACGTTTTTCTTTTTTTCTTTTCTCTTTACTACGATTGTAATAGTCTTATTTTGTAAAAACAGGCTAGCCAGTTACAAATTACCTTGTAAAAGTGAGATTTGTAATTGTAGTTTTAACTGGAATTCAAAATGAAAAGTTTCCATTATTATTATTATTATTATTATTATTATTCATTTCATTGTATCCGAGATGTATTCATATATGCTGACATTCCCGCTTATTTATCACCATGTATCATAACTGGCGATTCGTTCCGTCCCGACATGCTTATCAAAACTGCTTTCAAGTGTCTGTATATCTTCGAATTAACTGTTGGGTTCGAGACTAACCTGGATATTAACGCTTCGCGTAAAGCTGAGAAGTACCGTTCCCTTCTAAAGGAACTACGCCCTAAGTTCAAAAAAGTAAACTTTGTTAATCTATCTATCAGCTGTCTCGGTATCTTTGGTAACTCCTGTGATTCTTTCATCGATATGTGTGACGAACTAAAACTTGACTAACAACACCGTAATTTTATAATTGAAAAACTGTCAGCAATAATTATACGCACATCCTATTATATATTCTGTATGCCCAATAAGACTTGGACAAACCCTGAACTGCTCTCCTTCTAAAGATTCTTTGCACTCATATGATTTTATTTGAATGTTATAACTTTGTAAAATTAGTAAACTTGTTACCAGGCTATTCGATAGTAACTACCTGTAAAGTGAGGTTACTGTTGTAAGTAGAAGAATATAAAATAAAAATGTTTTCATTATTATTTTTATTATCGATTTCTTTAAAGTAGGCGTAAAATATATAAGTAGCTACATTACAGCTAATCGATATAATTATCTAACGACAATGATATCTATATGTACATTTGATATATGTTTACAGACGCGTTTTTTAAAAGTAAGTAAAACAAGATCCATTCAAGGGGCAACTAACAGGTAGATCCCAGTCGTGTTCTCAAATAACGCAAAAAAGTGGTCAAAAAGTTTTTGTAATTGAATAATGGCTCCTTTAAGTTTCAAGTCATGTTTTGCAATCGCTTCTTTACTTTTATTCAAGTTACCAAAATACGTATTTGCAGCTATATAATTAAGATTTCGATTTTGATTTCATTCAATTATTGCCTGTTGTCACATTTTGCAAGGAATAAATGCATCACGACCGTATTTAAAAGATTTTGCACATCATTGGCTAATAGACGATGACCCTGTGACGTTTTTCAGCATATTCCAGTCACCTGGAGGTTAAGGCATTAAATCCAACAACCACCCCAATCCTTATCGATTATCCGCCCCTGAACTTTCTGTGGGAAAACTTTGAGCTTTGGTAGATTTTAGTATTTGCAGAGGGTTTAAAGAATGATGATTACAGTAAGATGCACCGTAAACATAAATGTTTAGCACTTTCTATATATCATATTTCACATTTTATATTTTACTCTTTTAACGAGGGTTACCCTTCAACAAGCTGGCTTTCAAGGGGCCCTCCGATAAAAACATTGATAACAAAAGATACTTAATAAAAGCTGTTAATTAAATTAAACTATAAAACCCTATTTACAATATTCAAAACCTATATAAAATAACGTTGAAAATTTGCAATAAAATAAAAGTGAAAGAAAACAGTTAGAAATAGTTTTCTTGAAACTATACATTTTCGTGAAACTATACAGTCTGTCTAAACCGTGCCTTTTGTAAGATCACATCCTCAAAAATTTAATTGAAATCACTGCCGTAATATTCATTAAATCACTGCCGTAATATTCATTAAATAGCTGCCGTAATATTCATGAAATCGCTGCTGCAATATTCATTATATGGCTGCCGTGATATTCATGAAATCGCAGCCGTAATATTCATTAACTCGCTGCCGTATTATTCATTAAATCGCTGCCATAATATCTATTGAATGGTTGCCGTAATATTCATGAAATCGCTGGCATAATATTTATTAAATGGCTGCTGCAATATTCATTATATGGCTGCCTTAATATTCTTGAAATCAAAAGAAACAGAGCGTATGTTCATGCAGATATTTTATTGCATTTTATAACCTGTTGAATTTGAAATTTAACTTACAATACGTAGTCAATCTTCAAAAAATCATCTTAAATGGCATATTTTCTAAGAGTCTTAATTATCCATAGGATTGGTATTCCTCGTGCTGATCAGTTTGTCAGCTATCGTTTCTGCCGTTGATCTCCATCGTGCAAGAATGGATTCAACAACAGTGTCGAAATATGTTTCACCGTGCAAGAAAAAAAGCCACGATGCTTATACTCTGTGCCGCAAAGAATTGGCTGTAACCGAGAAAGGACGACTGGCTTGTGCAAAACAGTATGTGGCTACTTTCCCAAAATGTTTCTTTCCCTCGTTAGACAGTAAGAAGTCGTGTGGGAGAATCCTTTTGGATTCTTTCGCTCAGTGTGTCCTGGAAAGTTTTTCTTATGGAGAAATCTTTGCATGCAATAACGAGAAAGATGAGTTTTTAAAGAAATGCACCTCAAAAGGTATGGAAGACGAGTCAGAAGTGTCCTTTATTCTGAATAAGAGAGAAAATGTGCAGGCGTGTAACGATTGCTACACGCATGACGAAATGTGCAGAACCATTGCAGTAGATAAACATAATCATGATTTCTGCATTACGGCCTTTCAAATTTGTAGAGAGAACAATAATTGTAATAAGTAGTGCGAGCATCGTGAACGTCGAAGAAGCAGAGGAAATATCTATCCCTCGCGGAAGGAGCCACATTTGTATGAAGATAGAGCAATATAAACAAAACCTAGCTCATTGCAAAAAGAAACCTTATTTATAAAAATATAAAGACGTAAACAATCTTCATGATAATTTGTGTCAGAATATTTACACATAACACGCGACCTTATTTAATGTAACATTTATTTGGTTATTCCAGATGTTCTTGCGCCTTTGCTAAGTTTTTGATTTTTGTGTTGTCAACTTACTACCCTTAGTGCTCCACCCAAGAGATTTTTTACATATAGGGAGCCAATAGAATCTAAAAAGCAATGCAATATTTAAGTGTAAGCAAAGTCGCATCGGGCCCCTATCTGGACGTCCCTGCCTTGATATGATTCTGAACACTGCTGTGCTCTTTTCAGAAATTTAAGGTTTCGTAAAATGTTGTATGAAATATAAGATAAGGGTGCACAACTTTTATTTATCCGTTGTGTTACCAATCAATGTGAGATGCACATTTGTTAATTTCTTTGAATAATGTAATATCATACAATTGTCTTTTCTCCCCACTTACATAAAGCAAGTTTATACCGTATTTCTAAAATTTGATTCATCACTCCTCACTGGCAGGCCTTCATGCCATTTTTAAAGGATAAATTCCACAGATTTTTCAACCGATTTTTCTTATTTCTTTTGATACTTACCTCGAAGGTTAGCTGGTCAGTATGTGAAACATCTGGCGCTGAATCAGCTACCCAATACTTTGACTTCTTGATCAAAGCATGCATTATTTATCTTAATCCACTTCTCCAGTAGTGAATGAGAAATGCACGACTAAGACTTCAACGTCCCTCGAATCTGCGTTTCTTGACATAGCATGTTCCATCAAAAAGGATCAAAATAGAAGTTCCATCATGACAAAGAATAGAAGTTCCAAAAGCAAAAATACTTTGCAGTTAAGAGTGAACACTTACCCCATTATCAGCAAGAGATTACTACAGCCTTTGCATCTATTTCGTCATTGTTTTTCTTCTATTTAAGGAAAGGGACTTGTGAATAGACTGCCACGATTCCATAGGTAGACGAGTCTCAAGTAAATTTTATTTTTCTAAATGTGTGTGATTTTGATCATGAATGATAAATCTTTTTGGAAAAGTTTTCAGACCATTGAACCAACTTGAAACAGATTTTCATAAAATTTGGGGCCCCTAAGCGCTAAGGGTCTCTCGGCACAGTGTCCAGTGTGCCCAGTGGTTAATGCCAGACTGAGTGTGTGCAGAGAAAGGAGATCCGGGCTACAAAAGGCCCACTATTTTCGAGCTTGTCCTCTTTTATTTCAATTCAGTAAACCTGGAAATGGAATATATGTGATAATCACAGATCTACGTTTGTGATAATCGCAGATCTACGTTTGTGATCATCGCAGGACATCGAAGATTACCTAATTCAAATAAAAACCATCAATTCAATACCTCCTTGACACAGTCTATGACTGGCGCAGACGGCAGCAGAAAATCGTAAGGCTTGAATTTTCCCGTTTATAGCAGGCTGTTGCAATTGGATAGTGCTATCTGGTATGCATCTGAGCTCTTGTACCCAAGCATGTTACTATTCCAATCTATATCACCCTTGCAGATGTTTTCGTCGCGCATATCAAGTTCTTATGCACGGTTCCTTTCCAGAAGAGCTCCGTAAAAGGAAAATTATGATAAATAGCTCTTCTTGTGTAGCAGAACATGATATTCGAAATTTTCCTCCGCCACTTAATTACCAGCCCAAACAAGTTAGCAGGGAAGACAGTTGCTAATCTGTCTCAGGACAATGAAAACAAACTGCATCTGAAATAAATGCAAACCAATTAGTAAGAAGGAAAGTCAACTTTATTCTGCTGCAAAGAATGACAATGACAGAAGACGTTACTGCTCGTCCAACGGTCACAAGTCGAGCCCTCGGTCAGTTATATGTGGAATGCCCCAGGAATCCTGTCTGCGCTTATTGTTTTTCATACTGTACCCAAAATTCTTATTTTGAAAATTCCCTAAAATTCTCAAAAAATAACCTATATTCAGATGACACAAAAGTTTCACTCTTGTCGAATGAGCTTTTTGAAAACATTTTCGAATGGATGAAAATAAATAGACTCGAGTATACACCCCCAAGAAAACCGAGTCCTTGAAAATTGACAATCCTTGTAGGCCAATGGCCGACTGGCCCATCGGCCCATCGGCCCATCGGCCCCCTTTAAATTTTGACTTCATCTTTGCAGAAAAAGGACCCCATTTTAGGAATATAAGGCCTTACAATGCCCCATTATTAGCGATAAACTTCATGGATTACATCAAAACTGAAGTTTGATATAGCGTCATTGCATGGGGTTGTAAAAAGGATTGGGTCAAAAATTAAAAAAAATTATGATTTGTGTAGGTTATTGGAGGTTAAAAGGGATTTGAAATTTTTAGTATTACGGAATTTTTTAGAATGTTTATTTTTCAAAGACCAATGTTCAGTTTGTGTGCACAGCATTAGTTGTAGAGTTCACTTAAAATTTTGCTAGTGGCAAGGGCAAACGCCGGCAACAAAGTAAGGAGTTCTAATTCAGTAGTTAACTTTAAAACAAACTCGGCGTTATCTATTTCTTTTACTTAAGCCATGGTATTAAGATATTGCAATGCGAATGATACTTCAACAGAGATTGCTGCATCTTCTTAGAGATTCGTCTACCGAATGATCCAGTTTTTTGCTTGCGCTTGACTGTTTAGTGTGAAACACTTGCAAGTTAAGGGATAACCTCATGGAATGAAAAATTGACACAAAAAAGATGTCAAGAAAATGACAAGTCTTAGCAAAATAACACATAAAGGACGAATTAACTTTGAGTTGCAAGAGGTTCTCAGAAAAGAAATCAAAGTTGATGCAAAAAGGAGACAGGACTGATTACTGGTTTCTTGGAATGCAAGGAAAGGCAACTTCTGATAGCAATTTCTTGAAATGGTTTTCGAAATGATACTCCTTCTACTTTTATACGATTAATCGACAACTTCATGAAGAAGGTTATGTCGATGTAAACGAAAAAAGAAATTAAGAAAAATAGGAAAAGGAAAAACACATAGGACAGCAACACATGCCAACATGAAATTTAAAGGTTTAAAAATTTGAAGCGTATGACATATCAGAGCTCAACATATTATAGAGAGAGCTCTGTATGTGAAATACCCCCCCCCCCCTTCCCCAAAAAAGTCATAATTTAAATTGAAGAAAGGTTGCTCCGTTGTCCTATAGTTTGAAGTTATCCAAATTTGCCAAAGTAAAGATAGGAAAAACTATGCTACAAGAGCGCTCTTAAAGGCGAGCCTATTCCATTCTCTAAATGTTCGTGGAAAAAAATGAAAAATTGTAGTATTGCGGGCCAGACCCTGGTTTCTCATACGCTTGGCTATTAAAATATATAGATAGTCTTAAATTGGATCACTGCTTGATATACACATCTTTTATTACTTCTACTTGGTTATGATGTATCTTGTAGAACATGACTAATGGCTGTCTCCATCTCCTCTCTTCGAGTGAGTCCCATTGGAGTTCTCTCAGCATTTCAGTTACATTGGCATATCTATCGTATCTGTTTGTTACATATCTTGCTGCTCTACGTTGGATCATCGCAATGGCATTTATATGTTTCTTTGTGTAGGAATCCCATATTGCACTAGCATACTCTAGGGTTGGTCTAACGATGACTTTGTAGGCTTTTGACCTTAGGTCTTGAGAGTATGGCCAAGTATTTATCTTCAGAAAACCAAGAGTTCTATTTCCTCTATTAGCAGTATTATTAATATGTTTATCCCATTTCATCTCACTGGATCTTTCAACCCCTAGATATATCGTCAGCAAATAGTGTAACTGTGGAAGTGTGGGATTCAGATAAGTCATTGATATAGAATAAGAACAGATATGGACCCAGTACTGAACCTTGTGGGACCCCTGATGACACAACTGCTTCGTATGATATCTCTCCATCCAATACTACTGTTTTTTTCTATTTTTGAGAAAGGCTTTGTTCCCTTCATTGGTTTTACCTGTAATTCCATAAAACCTCAACTTTTCAATGAGCATGGCATGTTCAACTTTGTCGAAAGCCTTAGAGAAGTCCATAATCAAGGTATCAGTTTGCTTTCTGCCTTTCATGTTTTTGATGAGATCTGATATAAAACTCATGAGCTGGGTTTCACATGATCCTTTGCTGCGAAAACCATGCTGCAGATGATAAAGAATAGCATTGTTATCTGCATTGTTCATTATATTACTTGTTGTTATGTGCTCCATAATCTTGCATGTAACACATGTGAGTGAAATTGAACGATAATTGCTTTCTAGTGCTTTTTTGCCTTTTTTAAACACTGGTACAACGATAGCTGATCTCCAATCATCTGGCAATGTGCCATTTTCATAAGATTTTCGAAATATGTATGTGAGTACAGGGGCAATGCTCATAGCTAGCTCCTTCAGAATTCTTGGGTTAAAATTGTCAGGGCTAGCTGCCTTGTGCACACTTAAACCTTCCAAAATTCTCTGCACACCATTCTCTGTGAAATGAATTTGAGGCATATGTGATGCTTTGGGATAATCCAGAAGCCCTGGTGCAATTGGTGTTTGCTTTGCAAGAGCTGATTCAAAATTCGTATTCACTAGATCAGATAAACCAAAAATGTTATGAGAACAATATCTTATGTAAGCAAGTCTTATGTCTGATATACAGACAGCAAACCAATTTAGGGGATGATTACAAAAAATTCAAAGGAATATTTTTGGTACGATTTAGCTATGATATCAAGATTATGATACGAAATTTTCGTACAACTATATAGAAATTGGAAACAAAAGCATCTGCCAGCCCGGCCCCAACTGTTGCCATAGAATTTCTGATAATGATAACTAGGAGGCTAAATCTCCATTTCGGAGCGGTTATCCTGTAACTGGGTACAAAAAGCGTGATGCTACGTATAAGCAAACCATTATTTTGAGCAGATTTAATCCCTTGGTTTCAGAAATATTTGTAGTGTTCTGTTGATTTTTCAGAACTTTGGCTTAATTTGTGGATAAAGAAGTCTTTTCCATTTTGGGTTTTTGATAGAAATTTGGACAATCAAATAGGCGTTCAATGTATTCTTGATAGGAGCCACACCTTCGGCAAAAAGAAACAGTGTACATTCCTTTGTAGTTTCTCACATCTCAGATATATTTTTT